CAGCCAGACTTAGCCTACACTGTAAAAAGAAATGTGCAGCTTCATAGAATTTTTCCTTTTAATTTTACATTAATATTATTTTGCATTTTTGAAATACACTAAAACTTAAAAAAAAAAAAAAAAAAAAGTGGACTGTGAGTTTACGCTAATGTGAAATAACATAAAAAATAGGTTTTATGAAATATACAAGATTTTGATGTAAAGTTACATGTATTATACTTGATATGTGACATAAATGATCAGATCATTTTTGTAAATATAATCATAGGTATTTGTTTAATAAACAAGGTTTTGCACTCTTTCAAAGGTAAAGCCATTAATTTTATAGGTGGACAATTTTTTTTTAAATATTAAAGATCTGTCAAATATACATTTAAACATAAAGTTACATTAAAAAGAAAAAATACCTACACTAAATATGATCTAAAATTCTTCTTGCTATTTAAGCCTGAATTGCTAGTTTTAAAACTGTATTTTTGACATTTACAAAAAGATTTTCTTTTACATAAAACATATCATAAAATCCAACAAATAACCACATTTATGGGTAATTTCATTGTTTTTACAAATGTAAATAGTCTTTGTTATACATTAAAAAGCCCCTCAAAAATACATATCATGTACATTTAAGGATAGGATCAAATATGATTTATTTGTGGAAAATGACATTTATTTTATTATTATTATTATTATTACTTTTTACAAGAGGGATACTTTTCCACAACCAGTTTACTACCAAATAAGCTAGCCATTCGCTGTTTGAGGCTAATTCAACCGTTGATCTTTGTTTGAACTCTTTTCTACTATCGTCCACTGTTTCCAAGTGCTGCTCAACAAGAATAGTTGGATTTATGGTGTTTCTTCTTATAATATAAGGTAGCCTGAGATGCCTTATATTGTGAATTCTGGCTTTATACGTACATTTTTTATTGAACTGACTTCCTATACATGCTGACTAGATCGATTACTGGGTTACTTAAACTTTGACTGTGCCTTCGTATGTCCTCACATGAGGGGTGACATAAATAATAAGACACAGTAGTGTTTTCAAACTCTTAACGTGTAGACTTCAACCTTTATTGAAAGTGTGTTCAGCTGGTTAGATAGCGAAGCACAAATCAGAAGAGGGAGAGTTAAGAGGATAACAATTCATGATTGCATATTATACCTGTGGTTGCATGTATTCCTCATTAAAATGCTGGAGTTCAGTTATAACTGAACCTTTGTCTCACTCCTCACTTTGGTTATTTATCTCTCCATTTTCAAATTTCAAATTAATGGCCTTCAAAGAAATCTAGCATTGTGAAGCCATGTTTTTAGTTCAGTTTATCTGCGTGTGTTTTGTTTTTCCAGCCTGGTTTGGAGTCTCTGTCTGCCTCCTGAGAGGACCTGCATAATGAAGACCAGAGAAACGGTTGCCATGACGTTATAAATTCAATAAAGAGCTTAGATGTGAGCTGCTCTGAAGTGCCCAGAAAAAAACAGAGAGCCACAGCTTTACAAGGGAAAGACGGGACAGGACTGTTAAAACTGGCAGAGGCTGCCGTCACCTCGGTCCAACATCACACACACTTACTGCATTGCACACAATCCACAGTTGTCTTTCTCTTGGCATCAAATACAGGCAGACTGAGCTGTGTGGGTGTTGTGGAGGGTAAAACCACCTGAACTCAGTTTACACAGCTTTTTTTTATTTGCAAAATAGTTTACCTACATTGATTTAAATCCCTTATTCTGTAAATGTAAATAATGTTTACGTGATTACAAGAGAATCTGGTCAGCAAATCCTTTTGAAAAGGCTGAAAATAAATTTGTATTTACTTTCACCTTTCTATTTACACATTAGTCTGTGTTCTGTCTTGTGCACTTTGCTGTGTTGAGTCTGCAGTGTTTCCTCAGGCTGCTGTGTGCTTAGAACCTCCAAACCCAGCAGTGGACCTGCTGTTCATTTGGTTCAAGGAGAAAAACTGTGGAATCGATTCCTTGGGCACAAAAAGCTGCTGTGTTCAGTACTGGACAGACACTCAGTTTAGACATAATGACAAATCTTGATGTTTAGCAGGAGTGATGTTGAACATGTTTTGCATCTTACTTTTGCTTATTAGCATTCAACGTGTGCAGCCGAGACTGACCTGATTATTATTTCCTTTGAAGATGTTTAGCCATAAAACAAAATACTCTACAAACTCAATTTTAAAGTGATGATGGTGCAAAAGGAAAGTTAAGTCATCTCCAAAGTCAGTGTGATTCATCATATGTGAAACAGCAAACCATCGAACCAGTCAGGGAACCGCAAAAGTCAAAACGGGTCATCCTCTGGGCAAAATGAACGTCTGCAAAAAAACATGGAAGCTGCTAAAATATTTCGTTTTGGATCAAGGTGGTGGATCAGCTGAGGGACTGACGCTGCCACACTTTGGAATGACGCCACCAACACGGCTAAAAAACGCTAGTATTGTGTTAACTTAAAGTGTTTCTGTGTAACATTCATAGAACCTTGTCATTAATAACACAAGTGGCTTTTGGCTGAACTGCAGTCAGTAGCTTGTTGTTCTCACTATAAAATAACAAAAAAGAAGAAAATTTGAGACAGAGGAGCAACACATTTCCTAAATTCTGTCTGAACTGACATGGACTGACCCACGTGTAAATTGCTTTGCCTTCTTACACATAATACCTTTAACTGGGGAAAAACGCTTCTAGATTACAAACATCTCATTTCTAATTGAATACTTGCTTACAGATGTCAAAGTAAAGCTTTGACAAGGCAGTGGAGTCACAGTCTCACATGTCTAACCAGAGCTTTGGCCTCCTCAGCTCTAGCAGCAGCACACCTGCAGCACATGCAAACCTCTGCTGCGTGTCTGTCTGTCAGTGCATGTCTGTGCACAGAGCCTTCAAACTGAGATGGTGTTTAACCTCCGCCCTTAAAAACACAAGTTCTAGACGTTCAGACAGGCTGCTTGCATGACTGACGTCACTGCTGGCACTGCAGCCCGGAGCTGTCCAGACAGAGACGACAAAGCCATTACTGAGTGTGGAAATCTCAATTAACACTCAACGGAGCAGAATTTACAGTACAGAGACATTTAAACTTGAAACACTACCTTTCTGTGAATATAATTACATGATAATACTATTAAAACAGTTTTAAAAAAAAACCTTTTTTCACCCTTTTAAGTTGTTGATCTTTGAAATGTAATGCTCCTCAACATCTAGGCTCTATGCAGGTAAATCAGTCAAAAATGCAAATGTATGACAACTTATCTTTCAAAATCACTGCAACAGACCAACAAGTGAACTGTTACCAAGATAAAGGAGCCCCACTCCGCCTATATAGCAACAATGAACAAATTAGGAGTCCTAAAGGAGTGTTTAGAGAGATTTTATAGCAACACTACCCCATCTGGTGGACAGTCTGTCTGTACCGAGTCTGTCCGGCATCACAGCGATGCTTCCTGTGCCACAGGCTGCTCCAAAGCAGAATATCTCCACCCCCATGCTTATAGCAGGTAAGATGTTCTTTCCAAAACCATTCTGGCTTATTCAGACGTTGTTTTGCACACTTCAGAAGTTGACTTTTGCGATGCGGCCACAGGTAAGGTTTCCCTCCATATATAGACCTCAGTGCTGCACTCCTGTGTCAGCTCAGCCTTCCTGCAGCTCCTTTCCAGTCATTTTTAGGGAGATTTTTCCTTTTCCTTTCTTCTCAGCATCCTAATCACAAAGTTTTCTTCCAGACCTTGTCTTGACTTGCACGGTTTCCTGCTAACTGCCATCTGTTAACGACATTTTGGCAAGCTGAAAGCACTTTGATACCTTTTTATAGCCTTCCCCGCCTTTGAAGGCATTAATTAGCTTCACTTTCAAATCTTCTCTGTGGTTGTTGAGAAATACCACAAAGTTTGATGAGTCAGAGAAATTATCAAGCTCTGGAAATGTCATTAGCAACTCCTAATGATGATTCTTGACCTCCACTCCCTAAGTTTAAACAAGTCAATTAAGACCTATAAAGTTAATTAAGTTCTTTTCACAAGTGGAACGGTGCCCAAACTTTTGCATGTGCTGGCTGCAATACGTTTTGTTTTTTTTTCACAATGTCCAGCACATGGTATATATAAATAGCAAAACCTACTATTGCATGAACATGTCTGCACGTCTGTTTGCTGAAGATTCACTTCAACAATCAACTGAATGTGTGATTTGTTGCAGAGATCCTAAACCTGCAGATACAAGTGCATCTGATGTACCACTGGTTTATATACATTCAGATTAAAGGAGCTATTTGTGTTTTTTTTAATCTCATATAGTTCAACCTAAATGTACACATAATCTACAGTCATGATGGCTCAGGGACAGAAGTGTAACGGTGACAAAGGAGAAGAAAATGATCTATATTATTCTAAATAAATCAGTGTTTTTAACTGTTATAACAAACACTTGTCTTCAGTGGTGCATCTTAATGTATTTTGTTATGGCAATAATTTTATCTCATTAAAATAACCTATTTTGTGTGTTTATTATTTTTCAATATAATTCTACAACAATATGACAAAGACTCAAAAAAGCCTGTGATGCACTTATTGTTTTCCTTGCTATATCATTTTTGCTGCATTATTTAGTGCTCCTCTAATACTGTGTAAAGATAGATATAAGAAGGATTTGAATTAGCTAATGTAATTACTAATAGTAAATAAACTGAGCACCATTTTGCACCGTTGACCTAAAGCTGAACCACCATCTCTTTCCGTAAACAACTGTGAGGAGTGACTGACTTTCACTGCTGCTCTCCAGCTCAAACCAAAAGTGAAAGCTAACAGTTTGTGTCAAAAAACTTAAAAGCTCACTGCTTCATTGTCAAATGAATTGATATGAATAAGTGTTTATTTTTATATGTTTTGCAGACTGAATGTCCTCCACAGCACCTCCTCCTCTGTCCTCTCCGTCACGTATCAGCCCGCCTTTGCAGTTGCCCAAATATAAACGAAGTTTCTTGGCCCAGAGACAGATTGAAATGGGGAGGAGTCTCATACACTGAGTTCAGCTTAGGACAGACTGAAGGACAAACAAGCAGGAAGGAGAATTCGTCAGAAAAATAAGGGGACAGTAAAGCTTTTTGAATATTGCCTACCTGCTGAACAGTAAGTTTTTACCTGATTTTACTGTATTTAAACTGCAGCATGGCTTTCACCAGTCTATATTCTCAGCACCACTGGTAGGCCCTGCCTCAACCATGACTGTTTTGTAGAAGGAAATATGGCTAATGATTTACTTTATCAGAAATATGATTTTAAAATGCCCATATGGAGTTTCTATTCAGTTGATGTGTTATTATTTTTGCAGTTATCTGTTGCTTTTTGGTTCTGGATAAAGTTTCTGACGGTTCCCTTGACATAAAAACACATTAAAGCAGTAGGGTCATTCTAGTTCACATTTTGGGCATAACATTAAATATGTTATCAGTGTCTTATCAGATTCAAAATGTCTGCATGTGAAAGCAGTTTATATCTAAAGTATATCTTCAACTCTTATCAAATCTTTGTCTTTACTCCTGTTACACTACTGCAGATGTCTCTGTCTCCAGCCGCCCTGGCCGCTCGGCGAGTGTTTGCTGCTGCGTCGCATTCAGGCGAAGGAGGAGGTCAGTACGTCTTTACTGATCTGTCCAACCAAGTACAACAGTGTTTGAAAGCCATGCAAGAGCACCACTAAGTCCCATATAGCTTGAGTCTTTTGTTGAACATTAACTAAAATATCTGCAGAGCTGGCAGCCAGCCGGGGCCATCCACGCTCGGGCAAATCATCAGGAACTGCAGTCCTGTAATTTACTTTTATTTCGTGCTTCTGTCACACATTTTTACTGATTGTGTTTTTCACAGCAAAGACCTGGAGGATACTGACCTTCATTTTGGCCATACCTGGCGTTGGTGTCTGCATGGCCAACGCCTACTTGAAGATGCAGGCACACTCGCATGAACAACCAGAATTTGTGCCTTATCCTCACCTGCGTATCCGCACTAAGGTCTGTCTGCAGCTATACACACAATCTTCAAATGTAATTTACTGCAAAAGTAATAATAATACGTTGACATGTCTCCTTCCAGAAATTTCCCTGGGGTGATGGAAACCACTCTCTGTTCCACAATGCCCACACCAACCCTCTTCCAGCCGGCTATGAGAGCTCCCATCACTGAGAGGATCAGTCATATTTCTCAACTATGCTTCTAACTCCAGTCTGCAGAGTACTTGGCTTAATTACACTGGCCGAGGGGCCAAACAGCAGCGCAGTGAAACAGTGCACCCAGACAGGAATAAAATCACTTTGTGCTGAATTACACTGAGTGCCATTTCTTTCTTCTTCTTCTTCTTCTTTTTTTAATTTCGAGTAGTGCTCAATTCAATCAATCTCAAAATGTATGTGTGTGGTGTTGAGAGAAAAATGTTTATACATTTCATTATCTAGACCAACAACTGCAGGTGCAAGAAGTGCAGAACGCACTGCTTTCTCTCACCTGCATACACAGCCACTGGGGGTAGTTAAAGTCAGAAACGTTAAACTCCTGCACATACGGATTCTAAACATTATAATAAGGCTGGCAACACTCTACATTTTTCTAATTGTTAAAAAATAAATAAACTCTTTGCAGTTATTTCATGACACACATTTAGGAGAGCAACACATAAAAAGTTTCAAACAGGCCCCTGCACATTGTCTAAGTTGTTAACATACATTTATTTGTGCCATTTCAGTGCTAGACCTTCATAAGGCAGTTGATTTATTATAAAGAGAAGCCACCTTAAATAGGGAGTGGCTGTAAATCTGCAACTAATTACATCTCCTACGTACTGTATAAAAGCCTGAATCCGAATTCATTATATACTAAATGACAACAGTGGTAGAAAGCTAAAAAAAAAAAAAAAACTATTATCTGAATGCCAAAGGCTTTTTTTTTTTAAAGTGTTTTCTAACTTTCTGTATATTTTTGAAAATTGTCATTCAGAAGAGTGATGTTTTGGGATCCATGCCTCCCTATCGTACAAGGGGAATGTGATTAGTTGCAGAGTTTCAGCCACTTCCTGTTTCAGATGGCTTCACATTGTAAAAAATCGTTCTCCCGATAAAGGTCAAGCACCTTGAAGTCTCAGATAAATGTGGTTTTGCTGGTTAGAAAGTGTGTGAAGTCTGTTTGAGACTAATTTTTTTTTTTTTAAATCAAAACTTAACAAGAACTATAGTCCGTGAAATCTAATTCTGATGTAGTATATTGAGCCCCACTAGGTGATATGTCTCTCATAGACCGTCCTGCTGCTGCAAATACTCACTTGTGTACCAAATGTGTATAAATCTGCTGCTAAACACATTCCTCATTCTCTTCTGATGAGTAACAATTGCTAAAAACTCGAGAAGCAGGATTTTTTTTTTTTTTTCTAAAGTGAAAGTTTATATGCATGACTCATGTTTAAAGATCGGTAGCTTCAGAATGGGCTCAGGGCTGCTGCAGGCATTCAGCAGAAGTATTTAAACAGGCTTATACATTGTTGGTTTTGGGCTTTTCGTGCATTTTTTTTTGGCAGTAAGAAAAACATAGAACATGGCCAGTCCTATCCTTTGCAACAATTGAGTGAAATTCAGTGTGTGAGCATGCCAAGTGTTGTCAGGTGGACAATTTTGATTTAGAAATAGCACTTAAGGAAAAGAAAACAGGAGATCATCTGGAGATTTGTATAGAAATGTCCACTGCAAATTATCTAAGCTGTCGACATTTCGCTCTCTGCTGACGTTAAATAACAAAAAACGACAGTCAAAACAACAAGAAACTGGAAGCACAGTGATGTTCCAACAATATATTCAGTGGCATATGGATCCGCTGAAACTTATACACTGTATATCTGCTATTTCATATCATCTCTATGTACAAAATAAACAACTGGCGTCGAGACCAACCCTGATTATTCCAGCTACATGACACTTTGTAGAGCATTTGCTTAAACGTTTCCAAAATAAAAAAAAATAAAAATCACAATACAAATGCTGTTAGAAATTAATGCATCGACAGTAGATTATAACAGAAGTATGTCATGCTGGGATGGGCTACAATTACATCGAAACTAAATAGAAATGTTTGCTTCAAAATTAGGAAAATTAATCACCAGTCACTGCCAATAGTGCCGAAGAAGTTCATACAGCATGTTTTCATGTGTTCGTGCTACTGTTGTAGCCGATACTTGATAAAAATAAGACAATGGCAACTTCAGAAGCTTATAAAGTCGACTCTAACTTATTCTGTGGCCTCTGAATTTATGCTACTTATCAGTAAACTCAATATTTCCCTTCTTGTTCAGCTTAGAGCTACTGAGGCCAGACTCAGCAGGTCCTGTTTCAGAGTCTCTGTACAGTCAGCCTCTCTGGCCAGTCTGCGAAGGCAGTCCCCAGCAATGGAGGAGGTCAAGAAGGGCCGAGGACAGTCCTGACAGCCCAGCAGCAAAGACAGGCAAGCCCGACCCAGCGCTGGATAACTGTACCGCTGGGAAAACCAGTACACCTGTGGGAGCAGAGCAGCCAGAGCCCCACCTCCAGCAACGGTTTCAGAGGAAGAACGAGAGCCCTGAGCTGCTGATTTTACAATCTGTGCCGAACCTTTAATCAAGTTCTTTGGTCTTAATGTCAACTTTTCTGGATCCAGTGATTTGCCATCTGATTTAGAAGCTTTGATTGTGTTCTTATCTGAAGTTGTACTGAGTCCTCTGTTGACTTTTTGTCCTGCACAATCCAAAGAAGATTTCTTACTGTCTGTTTGATTTAAAGAACTGTTCAGTTTCTTTGTCTGCTTAGACACATTTTCTGTTTGCATCTCAGTTCCGGTCAGCTCTAGCTCGGATGTTCGACTAGCCAGGTTCTCCTCAGCAGACTCTCTCGCTTCTTGGTCCATTTTAGATGCAGCCTTTTCAGCGCTGTCCTCTGAGAGGGCTGAGGGAGCAGCCTTTGTGGAGCAGGACAGGAGAAGCGACACACAGAGATCCTCTAACTCTCTCTGTAGCTCACCAACCAAAAATCTGCAAGCTCCAATCATCGTCTCACCTAAAGGTGTTTTCTGGAAGGCCAGGTCCTCTGTTGAGTGTTCCTCTTTCTCCTTTTGGCAGATATTCAGTCCACCGCGGACCAGTGTGTCCAAAATATGACACTGTCCTCTCCTCTCTTCGTCATCACCTTCCTTTGTTGTCTTTGTGAGGCAACATCCATGCAGATAATGCAGCACTGGTAGCAGCATCCCTGTGCTGACATCTTTAATGTGGATGGCTTCTTCTGTATTACCCTGAGCTTCTCCAAATCCGCCTCGCAACAGAGCCCTAAAGTATTCAGAGCCGACCCTGTCTGAGCCCTCCACCCCGGCCACGGCCTCCCTGTTGGCTGGGACCCGGGTCCCGTCGTCCAGCAGCAGGAGCACGTCAAAATTCGAGTCACCATAGGGACATGTGTCGGCAAGGCGAGGCTTTTTCATAGGAGGGGGTGAAACTCCGCCAGTTTTACTGACTGACTGTGTTGTCAGTGGATTTGCATGTTTTATATCAGTTTTAATAGTGCCTGTCACAGTTGACAGGCATCCAACCAGGAGAGAGAAGTACAGTGAGTGGAGCTGAAAGGTCAAACCTGAATTAAACAAGTCAGAAAGCAGTCGTCCACATTCAGCAGGGTGGTCTTCATCTGCATCATCATCATCGCAGCCGAGCGGCTGCAGAGCCAAGAGCAGACCACCATTGTCCAGGAGGAGTTTCTTCAACAGGGACTTGTTACTGTTGGAGAAAAACAAACTTTATAAAGCTCATATATGGTCAATTTATGGGATTTTTATGGTTCAAGCATGAGTAAGTTTAATCAAAGTAAATCAGTGTGTTGTAATCACATGAGCAAACAAATAACAAACACATTTATTAAATCACTTGCAAATGGTTTTATAAACATAAAGCTGATTTCTTATCAGACAGAGAACTGCAGTCTTAAGTGGATTTCACTGAATGCCATATTTTTTGACTAAACACATTTGTCATATTAATATCTATGTCTACCACTCACCTGCTGATTAATGGCAGAGAGAGTGCACAGTTCATCTTGTCGGACTCGGTGCCCGACAGCATCACATGTGCAAGAACTCCGGAGCCAAATCCAGACTCACACTGGACCCGCAGATTGCTCAGAAGAGCAACACCTACAAAGTCAGAAGCACACAATTACAAACCGCACTTGCAAAAAGAGAAAATGACCAGATTTTGTATATGATCATACAAAATTCTCAGTATCAGTTGTCCAAATGTGGTCAAATCTACAATCGACAGCTTGTCAAAATGAATATCAAGCATTTCTGGCCTCATACTCGCTTACATAAAACTACTGTTTAATAAATTAAGGTATACAGACTTTTAGGATATTTTTTGGAGCGCTAGTGTTGCACCTGTACTCAATAATCGCAGACACTTTGCGCAACTTTTCAAAATTTCATCACTGGGATTAATATAGTTTATCTTATAAGTGCATCTGAGGACAGACTGACATTTAATGATGTAAACTATTTAAACAAGATAAATAAAATTCACATCATTCATAGCTTTAATAAGTCAACTTTAGCTTGTGAAATCAAAAGCTTGTGGTTACTTAATGACAGCCACAAGGTTTACAGGTCAAACAAGGCCTCTCAGCTGCTTCTAAAGTTACCGTGTTCACCTTACCGAGCTGTTTAACTTTGGCTTTCACTCGGTCCGTCTGCCTCTCCTCTCCTTCACACCCTCCTACTCTCTGGCAGAGATGGTGGCGAATCAGCGCCACAGAACCGGTTCGAACCAGTGCCTGTAAACAGTTTGGGTTGCAGCTCAGCCGGCAAAGCATACGGAAGCACCTGCTGCTGGGGTCCTGGTGCTGGGTGAGGTAGTAGAGCAGGCCGGATATCACGCCTGAGCTGATCAGAGCGGCGCTTGGGTCGGTGACGTGGGAGAAGCGCGACAGCAGCAGCAGGATGGGAGATTCGGGCGTCCAGGGTTCGGGGTGGTACGGGTGGTGGTAGGCCATTGGGCGCGGCGCAGAGGGAGGAGTGTCAAGAGTGACTTTAGACAAACAAGCTGCTGAATTAACCCGCTGTCTTCTTTTGTGTGGCGACGAGAACTTTGATGGAGAGACGAGTGCTTGGCTTGATTTAGTGGGAGAGGAGATGGTGGAGGAACTAGGCTGGGTTTGGGGTGTGAGTGCAGAGGAGGGAGGTGAATCTGTGACTTTTAATGACAATGAAGAGGGCACAGGGGAAGGCTGAGCTGCTTTTTTAGAAGCAGAGGGCTGCAGAGGGTTGGACGAAGAAGAGTTTTTAAGAGAGGAACTGGAATATGGGTTTGGAGAAGAGGTTTGAGGCGACGATGGGGGGATCTGAAGACTCCCCCATTCCCCGTCAACATTAGAGGAATCCAGCAGTTCTCCCTCAGAAGATATCAAACCCTCAGACACCAACCACGACCTGGAGACAGAAATAAAGATGTTAATAACAAACACTGAATAGTGGAATAAAAAGGCATTTGATTTTTGATTTGGTTTTTCATACCTGAGACTCAAAAAACTCGATGAACATAGACCTTGCTCTCTACCAGCTTCCTCCTTCTTGTATCCATCCGGCGGAGGAAAGTCAAAGGAATCAAAACATGAGGAGGGCAGCAGCTCAGTGGGAGACATGCTGGTAGAGAGGCTCACGTCCATCTTCTCGGCTGACTGCTCCTCCCCTCTAGTGAGCTCGACTAGTCTGGCGACAAGAAGAGGGACCAGCCCCAAATCCTGCAGCTGCTCCATAGCCGACTCATCAAAGACAAAGTCTACACAAGCCAGAATAGCGAGCCTGGAGAGTGGATGACTGTGGTGAGCAGACAAAAAGCCAACCAGCACCTCCAGTCCGCCACTCTCCTTCACCTTGGCCCGGTTCACCGCCTCTTTGCAGCACAAGCACAGAGCCTTGAGGAAGACTCCCGACTTCAGAGGGTCTCTCTTAACCTCCTCAGTGAACTTTTGAATGACCCCCAGTGACCCCACGAGAGGCCGCAGGCAGCCTTGGGAGCACATGTTGGCAAGGGTTTTCAGTGCCACCTCTTCAAAAAGTTTTCCAGACTCCCCAGATGCCATAACACCGAGCTGAGCGAGGACTCCAGAGCGGGACACCTCTCTGGCACATTCAACACCACAGCTCCGGGTCAGCTCATGGAGGGTCCTGAGTGCTGCCCGCCTCAGTGCCTGGGGGTACTCTGGAGCGATGAGAGGGGCGAGGGCAGATAAGGTCCCTTGGGTGAGCAATGACAGGCGGTTAGAGGGCGTATCTGAGAGGTAGAGAAGGGCCCGAGCAGCTGACTGAGCGCACTCCAGCTTGGGACAGGGGTCTTTGGGTGGAGCAGCTGTGGGGGAGGACGGGGCAGAGGACAGCGACACACAGAGGAGGAGGAGAGGAACACCGCCTGGATAGAAGAAAAGAATGTTTGATTATGTGACGACAAATAAGATACATACAACAACAACAACAACAAAAACTTGACAGGTCACAGGAGGGTTGCACGATAATGAAAAAAATCCCACTGTGAAATTTCATTTTTCTGTAATGCAATATGAAAAAACACACCAACTGAATTCAATAACTCTATTTTGACAGAATGAATCCCTCTTGAATGACTGGGATCATTTCTTTAAAATCTGTGATAATTGATCCTCTGGTAATGGTCACTTTGTGCTTCTTTTATTATTGGCTCCATAATATGACATATTATGAGAAAATCAAAAAGGAGCTTCCCAGTGTGTCTACTATTGATAGCTCCCAGTATGTACTTGATTAATGTAGCAATGCAATATCACAACTAAATAAGGAAGAAGAATGCCAAAATGTAAACTGCATGAGGAATTAGCCACTTCAAAGCTAGTACCAAGTATCAAGCAATATACTCCATGTTGTAAATATTTACCCTGCTTCGCATATGTTTCTTTGGGTGATTATTTATAACACAAACATTAGAAGACCTGTTTCTTCACAGATTTCTACAGCTGCTACTGCAAAACCATAATTCCGATCAAGGAGCATTCAAGCTGCAACCAGTTTCAAATTTAGAACTGTCAGCTACAAATGATGCAGAGACAAACAGCAACATTTCAAATTTACCAGCAGAGTGGATTAGTGCAGAACTCTCTGGATCCATGGCCAAGTTTCCCAAAGCCCGGGCTGCTCGGTTCTGGACGGTTTCCAGTGCCACATTTCTCTTCAGGATGTCCACTGAGACGGAGATAGTCCAGAATTTATTTTTTTCATTCATAAAATCTGACATTTAATTGCCCGTTTTCAAAATTATTAGAATTTTGCGAGCAATTAAGTTAAAAAAAAAAAGTATTAGTAAAAATGTGAATCACCACTTACCTACAACATTTATTCCATCGAGTTTACGAACCTAGAATGTAAGGCAATGCAAATGTGAGCTGCTTCAATAAATAGAGCAATCAACATTGTCTCGATTATTCCTGTTGTCTTACCTCTATACGCGTCTCCAGCTCCGTGCAGCAGTTGGCCAGAATGCTCAGAGCCAGGTCCAGAGTTTTCCTGGAGCACTCTGGGTGTTTGAGTAGGTCCAAAAGGGGCCGCAGACCACCTTGACTTCTGAATCGGGCAATGCCAGCCTTGTCACCCTTAATGTGCTGTGTCCGGATTGCAACTAGAGCTCGCCACTGAGAGACTCTGGACCTCTTGTCCATTTCTTTGCCACCGCCTGAGTCTGCCTGGCCCTGGCCCTGAGGTTCACCTCCTGATCCAGGTTTGGAGAGGTGAGCCAGGCACCAGGTCAAAGACGACTCTGGTGAGGATGGGTGCCCTTCTTTGGAGGGCACCTTTGAGTGTTTCCAGTCACCTTGTACAGGTGATGCAGCCATGATCCCTCTGACTGGCAGGCAACAAGTTTACTTAGTTTTCCTCTTCTCAGCTTAGAAAGATATCAGAGAAGTCGTGAAGCATCGCTAGACGCTTCCAGTGAAATACTGAGAAATTAAATAACATGTCCTTTGATTTAAAATGGAAGTACTTAAACCGGTGAAAACGTGCTCTCATTAGCTTCACTGATTTTCTCGAAAGTTTCCGCAAAAATAAGAGTTTGGTGCAATCAGGAAACTACAGATACCAGCATGAGAAATGAAAGTTGTACCACCTGACGCCGCAGTCGCTGCCGGGAGATGGAGTTCCAACCGCTTCGGTCCACTCCCTAAAGAAACAGGCCTACATCGTGAGAAGGCCGAACAAGCGTTATTCTACGTAATGGACGTGTATTTACTCAGTGTAACGTATTTTTACACACCAAATGACGAATTAAACCTCTATTTTATCAATGTTTTGTTACCACTGGCCGAATAATTTTGGTGAAACAAAATGCAATCGCCTGTGTTAGCCGCTAACGCCATCTTTAGCCAAACAACAAAACAGGGGCGGTCGAGGGAGGGAGCAGGGAGTGAAGAGGTGGGTCGGTTACGAATATTCTGGGATTTGTAGTTCAATTTTCGTTGCCCCTCTCCTCTCTTAGTGCATTTCCCATGTTTGAAAACTACATTCCCCGTGACAGTGATAAATACTAGCTTACGTTGAACTGACAGACGCGTTTAGGGATTGTAGTCCATCTAGAGGTCCAGAATGCGCAAAAGCCAGTTTGTACGACTAAAACGGACTACGTTTCCCAAGCAGCCAGGCGACGTTGTTATAGTCATCGTTTTTCACGAGTCGAGAAAGCGCATCGGTGCCTCTGAGAGGTTGTTAAATTCCGCGATAGACGCACCGTTATTTAATAAACAACTTTAACTGGGATGGTTAAACAACATGGAGGTTATCGAGACAATTGTGATACAAAATGCTGAAGTGGAAGGAAAGGAAACGGTCGTGTCCACTGTGGACACGGACAAAACAAAAACAGGTTAGTACTTTCAGACTGAAATGAGACTGGTTTCATCCAGTCATCGCATGAAGCGAAGAGGCCCTGATGAGTGCGCAGCATCTGCCTGTTGTACATTATAGTCAAATACTGTGATTCATATGATGACAGGTACATGGACCTGAATTATACATCATCTGCTAACGCACAGCTTTCAATAGGTGCTACACTGGAAAGGATGTGTCTGACAAAATGATCGAACTTTAAAATAATAAAAACATTGTTTAGTACAGCCACACATGTTAAAGCTAATTATATGATCCACCTTTGTTTTCATCTCTAGAGTTTATTTGGACGCTGCAGGCTACATGGCACCTGGTCAACACCCGGCTCGAAATGGATCAGGCTTTTGACCAGCCAGTATGCAAGAAAAAGAAACTTTGGGAGACAGTTGCAGAGAAAGTAAATGCCAAACTGAGGGAGTCAGAGGTCACAGATGTCACTGTGAAGGCCTACGAGTGCGATCTGAAGTGGAGAAACATGCTGGCCACATACAGGAAAAACTCAGAGAGGGCCAAGAGGCTGGGGACTGCCAGCGTCCACTGGGAGTTCTTCAAGGCCATGCATGAAGTATTGGGTAAGAGCCGGGAGGAGATCGAAGCCCAGCGAAGGGCCAAGCTCAGTGGGACGAGGGTGGGCAAGGCCATCGCCAGCAAGAAGTTTACCCCGATCCTCCCAACGCCTCCTGCCACAGCTGCCCCCTGCCCCTCCAGACCTCCACAGGATGTCCTGCAGCTGTACATGGAGCTGCAGGAGAGGAAGATGAACATGTGGGCGCAGCAGAAAGCTCTGGAGGAGAGGAAGATAGAGGCCATCAACAACCTGGCCCAGGCCATCTCCAGCCTGGCTCAGAGGAACAGCACACAGGCGCCAAAGGATGGACAGTAGGCCAGAGGAGACATGGATCTGAACTTTGATTTGTGTTGGTTGCTCTTACAAAAGACTTTTATGATACAGCACGAAGAAATGGTTTATAATGTATGTTTTTTTTTTTAGATCAGGCATGTTGACACTTTTTTTACTGTTACAGTTTCTAGAGCAGTTTGGTGCCGCAGGAAGACAGAATGAATTTCTTAAAAATAAATGAAAATGGTACAGAAAAGGAGACACTCACCTGCAGTACCATCAAGAGCTCTTGTTTACACTGCAAACAGATTACACGCTTTTTTAAAAAGTTGTCATTTTCTGCTTGTTTTCCTATGGATATAATAGTTATTTTTGTACTGAAATTTATTAATTAGTTTGGAAACCAAGAAAAACTATTACAAATATTGCATCCCACCATCACTGTACCACAGTACCAAATGCTTGATATATCTGTCTAATATAATGCAGGTATTTATACTGATAATTATTGTTCTTTTAATGACAGTATTAATGGAACCACTTGTGTAAATGTTAATTTGTGAAATAGATACCCCTTGTTAACTAATGTCTCTTTTGGCTTGTCACTGCTCTCCAGTGGCCTTAGTGGGAACTACAACACCACGTTATACTAATTTTAGGAAAATTAGTAAATACGCTAAAATATAAACCTGGTTATTGCACATACCAACAATTCCGTCTGTATTATTAATGAAAGAATTCAATAGTTTTTGAGCAGTTTTTGGTCTGGATGTTGCTTCAATAGCAAGGGATGCTTCTTGGCTCAAAATCACTTCCCGTACATACTTTAAATTCATTTGAATTTCTGTACCATTAAATGCATTGCAATAATCTTCCATGCAATAAACATTATTTTCATGAAAGCTTTGTCTATAGCTTTGTTTACTACTTTCCAGTGGTAACAGTGCAGCTAACAACTTTAATATAATCATAAACACTCTAATCTCTTCTATATGTGACTTGTTATCAGTGTGACTATTACAGATGACAACAGTCACATCTGTCATGGTTATTTTATTGACTGTTTCCTGGTACTGTTAAATTACATACAATTAAGTACAATGCATAAAATATATTTGTTAAATTATCACCCATTCATTCATTAATTTAAGCAATCAGATGTAAATCTGCTCTGCATTAATCAGGCAGTAATCTGACAATATCTGTGTAGGTCTGGTTGTTTCAGAATAAGGTCATTGTAGTAAACCTGTAGTCAAATAGTTCAAGATTATTAAAGTCCTTCTGGCATGAGTGCATTTTTGACTGACAATACCTGGATATCTCTGATTATTTTGGAACAAAGTCATTGCATTATTCATCCATCCATCCATTGTCTATACACCACTTAATCCTCACTTGTAGTTAATTAAATTTATGATAAAGATTACATGTCTTTTAGGTGTGAGTGCATTTTCATAAAACTGTGAAGAGACAAAACCCATGGGTGTTAAGTGTTGGTGTGCAGACAGATTCAGACAGCAGCGATTCAGTTGAAAATAAATCTTTATTTCACAGGACTGCTATATACAAAACATCATAAAATCATGTGTTTCCAGGGTCAAAGTTTTTAAACAGCAGATCTGCAATCATGTCACGTCTGCGTATGCTCTCATCATCTGCCTCCGCATGTCCCTCACATGTTATGGCTTCCTCTTTCTCAGCCTCTCCTTCAAAAACTTGTCCCATCTCCACAAACACATTGTGTAGCACACAGGCAGTCAGCACAACAGCTCTAGCTCTGTCGTAGTGTCCAATATCCAGATACCTTAGCCTTTTAAATCTGGCTCTCAGGTTGGCAACAGCCTGGTCCAGGATGTGAAGATGCTCCTCCAGCGTCTTGTTAAAGAGCTCCTCTCTCGGTCCGTGACTTTCTGCGTATGGAGTTAAAACCTGAGCAGTGAGCGGGTATCCGGCTCTGGCTATGAGGCAGGACCCAGAGGGCATCAGCTCAGGGAGTTGTTTCAGTCTGTCTATCAGAGCACCGCCTCTGTCCATGTCTGATCCTTTACTGATTCTGCAGTAGAGAAACTGGCCTCTACGGTTACATACAAGCTCAAGATTTAACCAAGAGTCAGGATGTGCCTCCTTTTTCATTCTCTTCACCTCAGGGACTGTGCTCTCCACATCATGCTTCCCTATAGGCAGGCGGATAGGGATCCGGGTGTGTCCCAACACTCCCAGGACCTGAGGAACACCTTTTCCCTCTTCCCGTTCGTCTTTTCCAATCAGACTGGAAAATGGGAAAAGTGCCTCTTCAGCCTCTCTGCCTAGAGAATACAGAGGAAACACAGATGCTATTGTCATCAATGCATCTTTTACCACTGACATCCAACAAATCTCCCTCAAACAGCAGTGTAATCAACCCACCGACAGGCCACCGGATCTGCTTCTCCTCCAGGGTGTTGATGCGCTCACAGAAAGAAAAGAAGATCCTGTGAATATTTCCTTTCTCCAGCTGGAAGCGGCGAGACACTGAGCGGTAGCTGACACGTTCGGAGAGAAGGGTGAGAGACAGGAGGACGGTGTGGGACAGAGACAAGCGAGCCCGTCCAGCCATCCGAGCCCTGGATTTAGAGCTTTGAAGCAGGTCTGAGATGTACTGGTGACACAGTGGAAATGATGGTACAGTGGCAGTCAGTCAGTGGATTCAGCTAGTGTATGAAATGTAGGATTCACTCAGCCGAGCAAACAGTGGTAATTGTCAGGGATGAGTCCTGAGCTGCACAATGCTCACACACGTTCCAGTAAGATTGTTTTTTAAGAGCTAAAATTATTAGATGATTAATGGTTGAGTCAGTCAACAGAAAATTAGTTGCAGTTTTCTGGATAATCACTTACTTGATTCAGTAACTGTTAAGCCAAGTTGAAGGCTTATCTCTGTCCCAAAGAGATTGAAGAAGTCTGTATTACCACTTACTTAGAGTACTGTAATTCTTTATATGTAGACTTGAAGCAGTTGTCTCTTCAGCTGCAGCTGATACAAACTGCAGTTGCTTGTCTTTAAACACGGAAAACAAAGCATGATCACATAACTCCAGTACTGGCCTCCCTCCACTGCCTTCCTGTCCATTTCAGGATTGATTTTTAGATTTTACAGTTTGTTTCTAAGGTTTTAAATAGGTTGGTGACACCTTATTTTGCAGGACTCCAGCACCATAATACCCCAGTTAGAGCACTGAGCTTGACAAATCAGATGCACCCGTATCTTTGGAAGTACAGGCACAAAAACAGAGGCGCCTTTGCAGAAGCCACTACTAATCTCTGTAAAAGTTTAACTTTTCATCATCCCTTCGTGTGTCTTTTATTTTTCATTATTTTACTGTGTTTTAATTGAGATTTGACTTTGAGTCAGTCAGCAGTAGTTGTACACCAATTTGGTTCAACTCTTGTTGATTTTAAATTAGATTTGACTTTACTTTTCAAGCAAAATGATTTTAAAAACCCTCGGTTCAATCTTCTTAAATGGTAAGCTTTTCTCCTTTTGTTTTCTAATTCCAAACTGCTATTTGGACAATACAAAGTATCAGGAGATGGCACAAAAACTGTGTTTCTTAATGTATATATAATTTGGCATCCTGTACCACTTATTGGTGACATGTGATAAACAAAACAACAAATAAATTATTCCAGAGAAATAGTCATCAGACTAGACAATAGTAGCCATTTTCCAAGCTAAATGCCAAGTCACTAGCAGGCATGGAGTTGACATAGTTTCATTTGATTCAGTACAGTGCTAGTTTCAGTATTCAAAACTCAGAAACTACAATAGTATACAACAATACAATGCACAAGAAGAATATTCTGATTGTGTTTGCTGTAGGCATCACATTATTACTCACTTTACTATATTGTTTTTGGTTTATTTAAACCTGTAGGACGTTTCTTAGAGGACTGTAACATGACCAATAATCACCTTGACTGCTGCACTGTCCACAGTTTCCAGCGGGTCCTGGGACTCTGCTGCCTCTTCCTCCGGCGGGCTGCATGATGTTGTGGTTGTTGTGTGTAAAACTTGGGGTCCCACACTCGCCTGGCTCTGCAGTAGTTGCACGTAAATAGTCTGTGGAGGAGGAGGAGGCTGCGCTTCAAGTTTTGCAATGAGGTCCGACTCCAGAATCTCCTCCACCGCCTGGTCAAGCCGGTGCTCCAGCTCCCCCGCAGACAGAGGCTGCCACTCCCGCTCCACCATCTCCAGCACGGCTCTGCCCGCCGATAAAACACACTCGTTGACGTCCATTTGTACTGGCAATAGATCAGCTAGAGAGTTTTAGTTCGTTTCATGACGTTGGACAAGAGTTTAACGAGTCGTTTGCAGGAGAAGCGAATTGTTGTTTTGTTGTTGCTAGCATAATGCTAATGTAGCCAGCTGGCTAACTTGTGCTGCCTTCAGGTGCTGTAGAAAAGATCGAAGAGTCAGTGAGACGTTTAGGAACCGGGAGCACAGAATAAACACTGTATGGAAAAATAGTTTCATTTTATGTTAAGCAAATAAATACATACATACGTAAATAATTTGCCCATTAAATAAATAAATAAATATGTCACTAGGAAGTGGAAGTCCCTTGAAAATTGTAATTTTAATAATAAAAACCAATTTATTTCTTGCATTAAAACGATATATTTTACCTAATTTATGTCAGGATTTATTTTGTACAATTATTTATGCTTTTTTTTTTTAATTAATGTTTATATTTCTTTTATTTTTTAATATTTATCTTACTGTTTGGTTTCTAAATGTCCTGTGATTTTGTGTTTTAATATTTGTATTATATTATGTTGTATGCAGAGCTTACAGTGACAATAACAGCTTTCTGATTATGACCTGAAAGTGGTACCAGGTCAAAAATAATTTGACGTAGCCTGGTAGGTAGCTGTTCTACACTCACTTATAGACCTGATTGATTCATGCGTAGTCAAAGTTATTTCTAGATCCTGTCTTCTACATACTTGCCAATAAGTTTTGCACTCATTGTTTCTTACATAACTTGTTGTTCCAATCTTAAATAATATGAGCAAGATCACAACTTGTTGCTTCACAAATTTAATGATCAACACACATCTGTAATGGTGTACCATCTCACAAAAAAGGAAGCAGCCGTGAATTAGGTGAAGATCTTTTTTCAAGTGAAAGAAAGGTTTTGACTAAAACCAGGTCTCCCGGTGATGCGCTCCTCTTTAGCCTGGCATGAACTTATCGGACTGACAGAATTATACCAAGAACTCGGCACTATTTGAATAAATCTGTAATAAATAATTGCCCCAGCTGTGTCTGAATGTGCAGAGAATCCATAATCGCTTCCATTAACCACAAAAGCACACAAAAACACCACAGTGCACAGATGTGAAAAACAATTGTTTTAATGTTAAATCAGTTACAAGTGCAACTTTGATCATGTCCCACTGTTTAACAGCCTCAATTTGCAAACATGTTCTTTTTTTTAATGCAACATTAAACAGTTTCATTCAACACCCCCAGGTCAGAATATCCTTTCCCTATGGTAAATATTGTTTTGTTTTTTTTACATATTTTTTGAGTTTCTGGATCAAGAGACCCAGTGTTACACCTTAAGTTGACGTTTTGATGTGCAGAAGTGTTCCATTTCTAATTCACCTTTCAATTTAGGAAAACTATGTGTATTAAGGTATTGATGGTGTATAATACAACACAAACTGCAGCATGAAATTAACCAGTGATTCTGGGATAATGCAGCATCAAATGCGCAGCCCACTACTGGCAGGCACAGCTCAACATTACTACTGACTTAAAATTGTTTAATGCTTGATTTAAACAATTCGGGCCACCTATTTAATCTCCAGGACTCATGAGCTACAATCAAACATTGGAGAGGAAAGTTGATTAGTCCCCCACCATTGTTAGTAAGGTAAAAAATAATCAATAATTACCACCAATTACTACTGGATTGATGCTGTGCCTGTCAGTCATGACATTTTTAACACCAGGTCCAAGTCAGCGTTACGAGTTGTAGTTACTCACAACCGAGTGCATTCAGTCTCGCTAACTTCTGTGAGCAGCTACAGTATGAAAATAGTAACTACTGATTGGTAGAGTACCAAGAAATGTTCGTCTTAATACCAGATCATCTGCCAACAAGTGAATCTATTTTTTTTTTATTTTAGAATAATATTGTTCAAAAGTTCTTGAAATACAGATAGTAACTTAGAAATTCACGAACTCCTAGCTATTGTCGCAACACATATCCAGGCCAAAGACCAAAAAACATGTTAATCCTAGTAATAGTTTAATAAAGAAACACACAAACATAAAAGCCTAAAAATGTCACACCTTATCAACTCCCACTTTTTAAGCCAGCAAAGTAAAAGAACACAAGTAAGGCAGCATCAACCTTACCCCAAATAAAGACTAGAATTCATTAAATACGAGGTACAATTCTTTAAGTTCAGCCTTTACCAATCCCATGGATGACTGACAGTGTCGTGACAAGTCCGTCAGGTATCTCTGAAGGGTCTTGTTGTGAAATTAGCAATTTTTCTAGCATGCGTTCGCCGATTTTCAGGACAAATGAACCACTTTGAAGCACCCTCACATTTACAACAAGGGGAATCCGTGTTTGTAATTGTTTATGCCCAGCTGAAGATCGTTCGTCGGCAAGGTAAAACTTCACCCGCTGAGGCATCGCTTCCCAAAAATCCAACCCCTCCCTCCCCCCGTGTGTCCTCCCTCCGACCCCCTACGTGGCCCTCGCGTCTGCCCGCCCCCTCCCTCACTGGACAGCCTGCTCGTTGGCTGTGCTGCCTGAATCCTGGGGCTTCATGACGTCAGGGAGCTCTGGGGGAGTGGAGAACGGCTCAATCCTCAGCTGCTCGAATGAATCATCTGGGAGACAGACAACGAAAAGAGGCAAATCAGAGGCAGAGAGTTATCAGATCGAAAGTGGGTTCAGAGCAACCTGCTGAGCTAAGACTGAGCTACAAGTGTAATGGCTCGACGTGAAGTTGGTAGAAAGGCAAACAACTCACCACCCAGACGAAAAGCTAATCCCACCGTGGCTGGAGCCTGAGGTCGGGCTGTTTGATTTGTGAAGCCACAATTTCCAAGAGTTTGACTGTCATCAAGCAGCACGTCATCCTGCAGAGGAACATGCCAGAAAGAACAAACTACTGTAGAGACAGCTGCTGGTTCGCTTCATGTTTATTTTTGCACAGCACACATTATCACCCCACTCAGAGATTGTGTCCAAGGCATCTGAAGAGATTTGGAGTATAGCAAGTTTTGCAGTTAAGTAAAATGGGTGAGGACTCGTCTGTTCTGCACAACTCTCGATGTCGTGAAGCCTCGTGTTCCTCTGAGCAAGCATGTTTCAAAGCATTAAGCCAATGAATCCTTTCGCTGTCGGGTAAATTAAACCGCAAGACCTGCTTTTAAAACACAGCTACTTTTTGTACATTTGAAATAGATGTGTCAGTTTTTTACTGAATCTAGTGAAAGTCACAAATTAATGTACTTCATTAGACTAATGAAAAAAAATCATGTTAAAATACAATCTTACCATATTGATGTATATCTATTTGAAATATTATACAGGTAACTAGTTCATAAACAGTATTAGCACTGCAACTAACTATTATTGCAATAATCAAGTAATCTAGCAGTTTTCTAAAAAATCATTTAGTTAATAAATTATTAATAAAGTAGTTAAAATGCCACTAAAAGTGTATCCAAGCTCCAGTGATATCTTCATTTGCTTGTTCATCTGACTAACAGTCCAAAACCTAAATATGTTTAATTGATGCCATATATTATAAAGAAAAGCAGCAAATCCTCACATTTGAGAAGCTGAAACCAATGAAAACCAATGAAACAATGCAGCAATACTTGGGATATTGTCTTACTGTATATTCTATTTTAGCCAACATTCTATTCTGCTCAGACAAGTTTAATTATAAATCTGAATTTTGCTCGTGTTTTAAATCTACGCGTTACATAAACAGTTGGGTACTGACAACAATTACCAATTAAGAAAATGTTAGCTAATAAACTTTTGCAGGCAGCTGAAACCAAAAAAACAGTGCAAACTTTCAAGTAAGAATGATAGAACAATTGCACTAAGACTGTACAACTGTATTACTGACAGAAACCAAATTGATCTCTTAAACCTTCGTGGTAACATAAGATGTTCCAGCTCATTTTTGTTCACCTTATAAAGCCTCTGATCTTCAGGTGGCCTCTTTAAAATGCCTTCCACAATGCGCTTCAGCTCATAGACTGTGGTCGACTCTTTGGCATCTGTGAAGATGGTCGTCTTGTGACGTCGAATCATTAGAAACACATCCTGAAGTGAGATCAAGCAACAGTCCAAGTCAGACACTGATGACTTGCATCAGATATTCACATCAGAAAAACATAACTGTTGACCTTGTAAATGCTGCATTCTCAGACATGCTGTAAACCTCTTATTCATGTTGTTGTTAGTGAATGAGCAGCTCGAGAAAGAGCGAGATAAGTAAAGAATTAGACTTCCAGAAGCTGCCTGATGTTGTCAACACATAAAAGCTTTACCATTTGCAAATATTTACATGTAGAAATTCCAGGTAATGTCCAACTTGACGACTACAAGTAAAACTCTGGGTGTTAAGGCCTGTTGTACAACGGTATAGTTTAAGAATACGAATACAGTGTCATATACTTAAGCTGAAAAATATTTTCATAGTCTATTAATCTGTTAATTGTTTTCTCAATTAGTTGGGTTGCAGTTAAAATGTCTGAAAAAGGTAAACAATGTCATACAGCATTTTACATATTTACATGTTTTCTGTAAAGCTATAAAATGGGGATAGCAACAAATACAGTTTAATTGGTTGATTATTTTCTTGATTTATCAGCTTGTCATGACAAAGTAGTCAAACAAAAAACAATATCACACCTTCCTGCATCATCATGTCCTGTTCATCTCATTCAGTTTAGAGGATTTTCTTCATTATTGTTCAAGGCTGTTTTGTCCATGAAAAGCCAGAAAACCTCATGGAATCAGAGGATTTTTTAAGTGCTTTTATTTTCTCAAAAAGTGACTAAAATTGATTGATTGATAATTGAAATATTTGGCAATGAATTTAATATTGATAACATCAAGTCATTCTGCTCAACCACTCAAATAAATAAGAAAAAATAAATAAACAATGTGTATATATAAAAGACTAAATATTACACTTAAAAATAAAACAAAGCTTGCTCATAGGGAATCCTTAGATTTGTAGAGTTTTGATGTATATTTTTGTAGGATTATAACTTAAACTCTAAGTTGATATTTACAATTAAGACCACTGTGAGTCTGAGCTTCAACACTTATTATAATCTAGTAAAGTAGCACATTACATAGTGTTCAAAGCCTCAATATCAACATTACTCCATTAAATTTACACCACTAACAGCACTGCAGGGTCTTAACCTCAATATGTAGCTTGTTAGGTTGGTTTGTAACGCAAATCTTGTATTACTAATAGAAGCACTTTGGCCAAATGCCTGCGTTTCAAATGTGCTACATAAATACCGTGAAGCGATAAATCTTTGCAGCTCCAGTTTAAATTAAAGCAAAAGTAGGGGGTAATATGGAACAGGACAGATATAAGTCAGCTCAAACTTTTGGGAAATGAAGTTCTGCTGTACAAAGATCCATTTTAAACGTAAAGGTAGTGTGGTAACTACTGGTGGCTCCGGGTAAAATAAATTTAGACACGTTTGTTTACTCAGCCTGCCTGTACTAACCAGGTTACATGAGGTTATGCTGTGTGGGGGCAGCAGCAGTGTTGAGGCTGGATAAAACAGCATTTAATGAGTTGGCTGATGAGTTAAGTTCATGAGCAAGCCAGCAACACTCCTTTTCACGTTACACCAATCTGTGACCAGCCAGCCAGCCGTTTAAAGACCCACAGCACAGCTGCTAGCTAGCGTCATGAAGAGGTAGCTTAGCTGTTAGCCAAAGGTGGTCCTTAAACCAACTGTTAACGTTAGCTATAGTGGCTTCCTCGATAAACTGGCTGTCGATACTGTGGGTTCATAAACTAACAAGAACAAAACCCATTTTGTGTCGGAGCCCGACTAATGATTAAATCACCACATTATACTGTATGTCCGAGCATTTTATCCTAAGTTGTTTAAGAGATGATAACGTTAGCCGAGCTATTGCAGCTACCGACAACTTTAGCTAGTTAGCTTCCCCGCGGCTAGCAAGCTATTTGATCAAAAACAAAGTTTGTTGGTTTAGCTGTCACTTATCGAAAACAACGTTAATGTTAATGCCCTTTGTCTGGACCCCTCTCCACTAAACTTGCTGTCAACTTGAGCACTGTAAAGCAATGTCGAGCGGCCGTGAGCTAGTGGTTAACCAACGTAGGGGAAGCTAACCCATGCTAGCAGGGGTTAGCTAAACAAAGACATCAGCTTTAAAATGATGGCTTTGTGACAAGCTTGGTTCACGCCGACGTTTTAACGGCTTACAGAAGGGTTTGATGACTAACTAATAGTAAGGTTTAGCTGGTCACCAGGACATTACATTATGAGCTGTATCTGTTTTCCTCACTCACCATTTCTTGCGGTTGGCTGCACACAGAAAAAAAAACCTCCACTGCACAGCGACAACTGTGGGATCACAGCAGCACCAGACAGCTGCAGCTCCAGCGTCCACCAGCTGATGGCACTGCAGGAGCTTCACCACCCGAGCTCTTCAGGGAGCATCTTTGTGTACATGCAAACTATTCCAGAAAAAAAAACTGGAAAAAGATGGAGTGTGATAATAATGCCAGAGGACACACACTAGCTATAGTACAATCTTAATGTGTAGTTTATATTAAAACAGCTTTAAAGGCCCCATGTGTCCCTTTTAAACAAGTTAATGTAAGTCCCACATGTGCCCTGAACGAGTCTTTCAAGCTCAATATACCAGCACAATTCAACAAAGAATGAATCTGTTTAACTATTCTGGTTTCTTATGGTGCTCCCACTCTCTGGTAGGATCTTTTGAATTATCATCATGTCTCCCTCCCTTGTGAAACAAACAGGTGTGTTTCTTTTCACTGGATCTTTTGTGTTGTAAGACTTTTTTCCTCTTCTCAGGGTGTTTACAGCTGTTAGCACAGTGAGTAGGACAGCTGGACTGACAATGTCTGAGAAATACCTACAAATAAGAATGCTTAGGAACAGGATTTGTTTGAATGTGATACAGTAAGTAGCTTGCACACATACACAGATCTCATACTGTAAAACTTTTTCCAAGGCCCCCTGAAACATGTATGTGAAGGTGCAGCTGTTGACCTACTTGTCAGATTATAGACTTCAGTCATCTGCAAACAAAGAGGCTTCAATGTGTCTTTGCATGATTTGAAATCGCCTGTGCAGGTGCAGATGCAACTCAGGCTCAAATTATGTGACTTTTCTGGTGCAGATGCACTAAAATGTGCATTTTTGGTTGAAGTGTAAATTCTGACATATATGAGCATATATCGCATATTGTGATTTAGTTGGAAACAAGTCATGATGTTGACAACATGCTCGATGTGTTGATAACTCACCTATTTTTGAAAATGCGCTGATTACACAAGATTGTTTTGTCATATTTTGCATTCAGCATGATAAAGAAATTTTTATTTCAAGAAAGTTGAGAAAGTTTTACATTTTATCAACAAAAAAAACAACAACCAAAAAAAGGAGCCGCCTGAAAATTGCCAGATCAGATGTTTGGACAGTTTGGAGTAACTTGGACACATTAAAAAAAATACCCCTGATGGTCACTGGAAAGTAAAGGCCAACACACACACACACACACACACACACACACCAATCCAAAAATTAAACAACAAAAGCAATGTATCTATCAGTCTCGTGTGGCTCAGCAAACATTTTCACTTTTCTCAACTTATGTTGGTAATTTGGACCGTAAAAGACATGTATTTACTTGTATTTATTTGCTCTGTTCTTGACTTCACTGCAGATTTTCAGCAAGTTTTTTGAGCCACACACTTCATTCACTGTAACACAACATCAACAACTGAAATAAACTGCTACATTCAGAAATAAGATTTTTAATGATGAAGCATAAAAATGACCTTCCACTGATTTAATGGACAAAAAAGACAAAAGAACACATGTTGGACCAAACAGGTGGAAAATTTCAGCGAGTCCTTGGGAGAGTGGAGGATGCTCCAGAAGTTCCATCTGCAATTCTTGTTCAGTCGACACATTCTTGGTCAAACCATCGAGGTTTCCACTGTCCCATTCCAACTCTGACATTCTTCAAAAAAAAAAAAAAAAAAAAAATTCCTCTTTCCTGGTTTGTTAATGAAACAGAGTTCTGTTTGGATTCCAAGTCCAGTGACCTGAAAATAATACCAAGTGAGACAAGTTGTATGTTACTGTTAAGTGACCTGTTCACAATCTGCAATTGTTTTCAAATTCACTGACTTTATCTTCCTAGAAAACTTTAAAATAATTCACAGATTCTACAACTCCAGGAACATGTACACATTCTATTAAATTATTGAACATAACTACACATTGTGATGTGAAATTCCCAATTTTCTACCTATTTTCACATGTATTATTTATTCCTTTCTGTATTCTATATATTAACTGTGTGCTGTTTCATGTAAAGGTTCGTCACGTTTTTCATCCACACTGAGTTTGTTGCTAGGAGCCCAGCTTGACCTTGGCGTGCCGAGGAGGCTTCATCTAGTCTCTTATGAAAATGTAATCAGAGAGCCCAGGTTCAGGAAGAAAGAAAAGAAGATAGACCAACACAAATAATCCTGTGAAGCTCCAGTGTTCCTCATCAGCAAAGAAAGCTTTATTAAAATGGTTCGGAGAAACCCAAAGAGACTGACCCCCAGACTTCATATGTTTTGTTCTTGTCTCATGAAGGCATGACTCCTACGTATGGTTTATTGCAATAAATACCTCTGGTGAAAATTTGCTCTTTGTGAATTCAAGGTGTGTAGAATTTCTACAACACACAAAAACTTTAAAGATATTCAACTCACCAAGTGAACTCCTATCTAACCACGAACACACTCTCTCGGATCTTGGAGTAAGCGTACTGTGGAACAGAAACATAAGAACACAAAAGTCATGTTGCCATATATATATATATATAAAAAAAAGTCTTAAAACTCAAATGTTTCAAACCTACACTCACATTCAGTCCTCTGGGGGATTGGACAGGCTTTAGTCCCTTACAGCAGAGCACTGAGAAAGGCCTCTCCTTGGTCGTTGACTGCTCTTTGAAGCACAGACTGACAACTTTGGCGGGAAGATAGACATCCCAGTCAGTTGCATGCTCCTCGATGAGATCACTCACCATTCTTTTGGAGAGCCACAGATAGAGAAGACATGAGCTTAATGAGAGAATATCCAGTAATAGAACTTAAACATATGCAGCAATTTAAACCTACTTCGCTGCAATACCAACACGGTACTCGGGGGATTTTAACATTTGTAATTATGAAACAAGTTCAATGTCTTTTTCTTGTCTTGAAGGCTGCACTGACTCAAGAGAATGAACTTTATATGTCATACTATTCAGAATACAAAATATATTTTGCTTCAAGTAACTGTCGCGTTAATGTGACAAAAACATGTTAATGGAAAAATAGCAGAACAAACAAGGCTACTGCGCAAATAATGAGACACAATAATGAGACTGTAAAATGTGGTGGAAAATGTTACATACAGAAAGTAATACTGTTGCATTATTCACAGAACACTGTACATACAGACCTGTCAATCAGCTGTGGCGTGGTTAAATCTGCAGTGCCGGTCTGCTGATGATAGACCACGAGAGCCATGGTGACCTTCAGCTGATCTTTCAGTTCTCTGTTGATCTGGAATGAAAACACGTTCACACAATATTACAGTGGTTTATTATGTAAAGAAATACATGCGGTGCAGTGGGCTGAAATAAACAGGTGTTATGCACTTCATAGTTAAAATGTGTTCCTGGGATTTGCCACCGTTTAATCAGACAGAAAAATCTGTATTTGCTCTTTTTAGCCAAGATGAAACGACAATGATTGTATTATATGGGATGGATGGTAGAGATGAGAGAGATGTTTGATTTCATGTCATCAGACAAAATGAAGACCATTGTATGATTACACAGTTTGTCTGTTGAGGTTTGAAAATACTGCTGACATTTGACAAGAGGCCTGTTATAGCTATGACATGAGTCTAAGAACCTTCAACTTGGGTTGGGTGATCTGGTCAAAGCATCATATGATGATCTTGTGGAGCAGAATCCACAATCTGAATGTTCACATGAGCTTAAGTTCTACATAACAATATCAGCAGTTCAGTCACCAGTGAACTCACCTTGTGGACGATGTCATGAGGCAGTCTGGACAGGATTCTGAGTGGGTATCCAAAGTGGGCGATGACGTCCACGATGTTCTTCGCCACATGTGAAGGGAGGCACGACTGCATCGGCACAGCTTCTACCCATTTGGAGTAGTAGTCTGTCACTGTCAAAATGTATTTGTGTCCGTTCAGTGTTTGGGGCAGCGGTCCTCTGACGTCCAGACCGAGCCACTGCCACGGTTCTGTCACCTGCAATCACAAAATAACATCAAGCAGAAGAGCAAAGCAGTTGTATTAATAAGTCTGGCCTGTATTTTATGTCATCAGTTTTATTGCCAAGTAGGTTTTCACACACAAGGAGTCTGATGTGGGTATTTGATGCATTACATGAAATGGTGACAAGTAGAGAATATAAAAAAAAAAAAACAGCAAGTGTAGCAAATCCAAATAATTTTAGGTAATAAAAAGTACTACAAATATTTACAGTGTGCAGGAAGGTGCACATTATTTGCTTGAGAGTGTGCAAATCAACATAGTATGTGGTGTAAACAACCTGAGATGTGCAAAGTAATCAAGCTGGAGTCGACCTACCTCTATCACATTTTCTACGGGTTTTTTCTCTGTCTGTGGAAAATGATTGAAGAATGTGTAATTAAAATACTTCACAATACAAAAGATCAGATCATAAAAGACAAAATACTTTATTTTATAGAAATTAAGAGTACTTACACTGACATCAAGATCTGGAGCCCACTGAATATTCTGTTGACGCATGTGAAAAGTTACACAGTGACACTTTGGAAATAAATGTAAAATAACAAACTGCAATATTGAGGGTTGATATCTGACAACAAAGGGTTGATTTGCCAAATGTCATATCATTACATTCCTATTATTGAAATCATCAGGTTATCAAAGTAATTCATATTTATACTATTTTTAATAAATCATAGCACATACCTGTGGTACACAGTAATCACCATGAAAGAAATGTGGAAATGATTCGATCATCATCAGCCCTTCATCAACAATGATCCTCCATTTGTCTGACTTTTTGGCATCTCTGGTAAAAGCAGAAAATATGAACACTTTATGCTACTTCGTGCATTCAGTTTATAAAGATTCAGAAGTAATTAACCTGGTTCTATTGAAACATTAGTGCACTAAAATCTTTCAGCTAGCCGACCTAACTGTCCCGCAACAAGCCAGAAGTTAGAGGACATGTCCTGCCTGCTCTCAGTGGTTAATCTATTCTTTTCTTTGCAAAACCTCTTGAGGTAGTAAACTTCTTAAAAGTACAAACACATAACCGTGAGGCTTTATGGTAACCACATATTACTTATCAGTTTGGTCGTTGAATGGGTTTTCTGTTGTGTTTTGTTCAGCCTAGCAACTGCTGGGTTGCTCGCTTGTGCTAATGTAAACAAACAAGCAAGGCTTTGGCATTAAATTTCCATATTTGTTTAAATGTATTTTAATAAAGGGGATTTGGCAGAAAAAAATATGCAGATATGATTCTGTGCCACCGAGATAATTGCTTATTGTCACCTCTTCATGGAGTACGTGATTTGGGCATGTTGATGGAGCTTTCTATCTGGCCTTAACATCCAGAAAGGAGCTGAGGAAGAAGTGGGAATTTTATAACCCACGTACATGCAACAAGAAATTTGCCAATCTGGTAAAGACCAGGAGGCAGAAGTGGATCCTGACTCTGCAGCAACTTTAGAGCAACAGAAAAGGGAAGGAAGTGTGTCGATGCCGTAAATTCCCAAGAAGATTTGAAATCACGGTAAACACTTTGAGAAGTCCCCTTCTTAGTAATCACAGCTTAGAGTACTCAGACCTCCCAGAGAAGAGCCTCGATTGAGCACTTTAAGAGAAACAGACCTCTGGCAAGCAAAGCTAAAGACATCTGGTTTGACCTGTTTTGTAAGGATGACCACAATAAAGACATCTCAGTGTGCTGTAGAAATTATTGACAGAAACTGTGGGAGAGGCCCTCCTGCACACTCATACTATCATGAAGTTCTCTTCTCAATAAATACAAACTATCACTTCTAATAATAAATCAAACATTATTGTTTCACCAACCTCAACATGAAATATGATGCTGAGTCCAGTAAAGCCAATGAATGCTACCACTGACTCATGCTGTGATTAATCCAGCTACTCACTTGTTTGTGAACGCCTGTATTCCTCTTTGTTCGTTTGACTCAACACAACAACAGTCTTTAATCCTTGACAACATGACAATAGAACTTGTAATTCGATGCCTCTTACCTGAACTGAAAGTAAACACAGCTCTTTGTGAGCTGAGTCATCATATTTAATTGTAAATCTACTGGCTTTGATGGTAAAAAAAAAAAAAAAAAGCCTGATCTAGTAGCAAATACTGGCATTTATTTTTTCCCTTTTTCTGTGACATTTATGAATTCTGAATGATGATGTATTATTGGTAATATGGTTGCAGCACAACGCCTCCATGTCTGTAGTTACATACCCAGGTGGCTCTTGCTCTGCCTGGTTGGGTTCTTTGTTGTGGACGCCCTGCTTTGCTGTGGTGGGAGTGGTTGTTGTAGACTGAGCAGAATCTTTCTCTGAGCCTTTGGCACCAGGTGGCTGGG